GGTACCAGGCATGATGTCATGGCAAGGGAGATTTCCTGAAAGAATGATGCCTGGGCAGTCTAAAAGAGGCGTTAAGATCCTTAGTCCTAGTACTACTGCCCCATACTGCTATTCAGTTTGGGGCTAGTTTCTTAACTTCCCTAAATACCAGCTGATTCACTTGCAATGAGGGTGATATTTGCTCACAGTTTTGTATCCCTTGGCTTTCAGGAAACTGCACAATCTTCTTTCCTTTCCACTACCGGCTTGTTTCCTTTCTTTGTCATTTGCACTGTCAAACGTGGGGCTCCTCATGTCTCATACCTCGAGACTCTGCGTTTCTTTTTTTTTTTTTTTTTTTTTTTTGAGATGGAGTTTCGCTCTTGTTACCCAGGCTGGAGTGCAATGGCGCGATCTCGGCTCACCGCAACCTCCGCCTCCTGGGTTCAGGCGATTCTCCTGCCTCAGCCTCCTGAGTAGCTGGGATTACAGGCACACGCCACCATGCCCAGCTAATGTTTTGTATTTTTAGTGGAGACGGGGTTTCACCATGTTGACCAAGATGGTCTCGATCTCTTGACCTCGTGATCCACCCGCCTTGGCCTCCCAAAGTGCTGGGATTACAGGCTTGAGCCACCGCGCCCGGCAGAGACTCTGCGTTTCTATTTTCACATACTCCCTTGGTTCAAATCTGCCTGCAGCCATGTCTCCACCCGCTCCAGCTCAGTCTTGCCTCCATTTCATTTGCATGCTGGACATCTCCACATAGACACTCTGCCACGGCATTTAAAATTCAGCAAGTGTAAAGCTGAATTTGTTCTTCTTTCCCTAAATTACCTCCTGACTCTGGAATGGATAGCTCTTTTAAATAGGGCCCCTAATCTCACAAATTCCAAACTTCCAAGTCATCTTTAACATCTTCTCCCCGCTGTTCCTTATCTAATTAGTTGCCAAACTCTGTGGGTTATTACTTTGAAACTTGTTTGGTCAGAGCAGGAGTGGAAATTCAAAAGTCTATAATAATTGCGTCAGGAGTTTTATAGAGCAACAGGACTGAAACTCCTTAATGTAATTTTAAAACTGAACACATTTTTGTTCTCTAATCTTAAACACCTGGACTATTGTAGTTAGCTAAATTGGATCTTTGCTTACACAGTCATTCCCATTCCAGCATCTTTTATGCAAATTCCAAATTACCTATGTGCTTCCTCCATACAACTGTCCAGTCCTTTAATGCTTCTGAATAGTGTAAAAGGCACAGGACTTGTCTTTAAGGCACTCTCAAATCTCTTCCCAGACTGTCTCTCAGCCTCTTCTTCCATTGCCTCACTTCAGTTCTCCATGCTGTCCCTAAACTCTACTACTCTTGGAATCAATGGGCCTTTTCCTGACCCCAAACCTTTGTTTGTATCTTACCCTATTTTTGCCCTATTGCATTAATATTTGTCATATTTACTTGACTCGCCAGGCCATTAGCCTCCCCGATCCCAATTACCACGCTGCCTTCTCTCCTTTCTGAAGCCCTATACCACTTTGGTTACGACATTTGCATAGCATTTATCACGGAAAACCTCCCTACTAGAGTATAGATTCTCAAACACAAGTATTGACACTTAGTGCGTTTTTGTGTACTAAGGAAGTTTATTAAACAGTCTTTGATTTCATCATTGTTGGTTCCTGGGACAAAAGCTGTGGTCCTTTGCTCTGACAAAATCACGAACCTATTTTCTTTGTATTTTGACCTAATTACATAAGCTTCTTTTGAATTGGAAGCTCTGTATAGACTATTTTACTGCCAAATGCTTTTTTATCAATGCAGAAATAAGCCTTTGAGAGGCACAGTGCCTCAGCTGAAGACACATAGCCAGTTTCTGGTAGATAAGGTATGAAGCTTTGGAACTATTGCTCACACCATAAGCCCCTGGGTTCCCAAATCACCTCCCCAAGTACCTAGTTCATTGTCCTCTGCATACAAGAGATTTTTGCTGATTCCAATAAAAAGAAAGTAGTATGGTAGGACAGGAGAAATATGATAGGACAGGAGAAGTATAGGTTTTTGAATCAAACTAGGTTTAGATTCTAGCCTGGTCACGAGTTAGTGCATGGACTTTGATAAACAGCCCCTCAGCCTGTTTCCTTGTCTGTAAAATGTGGGTAGTTATCATCACTTCATGAAGTATTGTTAGTGAAATGGTATGGTGTGTATAAAGCAACTGGAACACAACAAATGCAGCCATTTATTTAAAATAATCTTCAGTAAGTTATAAATTCACATATTTGCTTTTTCTTAGGAATACATAAATTTTATCACAGATCCCTTTTCTAAGTTGAGTAAATGCATAGTGGATTTCTTTGCTTCCTTCCTCCCAGAATGTTGAAATTTGGGTGGTTGTAACTATTACTAAAGACTCCAACCAGTAACTGTTCTTTTTTTTTTTTTTTTTTGAGACAGAGTTTCACTCTCATCGCCCAGGCTGGAATGCAATGACATGATCTCAGCTCACTGCAACCTCTGCCTCCCAGGTTCAAGTGATTCTTCTGTATTAGCCTCCCTAGTAGTTGAGATTACAGGTGTCCACCACAACACCCGGCTAATTTTCTGTATTTTTAGTAGAAACGGTGTTTCACCATGTCAACCAGGCTAGTCTGGAACTCCCGACCTCAGGTGATCCGCCTGCCTTGGCCTCCCAAACTGCTGAGATTACAGGCATGAGCCACCAGGCCTGGCCAAACTTTCCTTTTAAAAAAAGGTATTACCAAGAACTAAGTATTCTGGAAGGTGGATGCTTAGGCCATTCAGGGTCACTAAGCTGGGTGACAGAGATAATATTTTTGACACTTTGCAGAGCTCATTGTTTTCTCTGCAAAAAGAAGCTGTGACATTCACATAATAAACACGTAGAGAGCTTTAACAGACTTCAATGTTAAGTCTTCTGACAGCTGTATAACTGGTTTACTTGAACCTGTCTTTTCATAATGCTACCTTGCCTTTCACACCAATTCTGTGAGCCCAAGCAGGAATGAAGATGACCTGTTTCTAAAGGCAGCACAGAAGGGAGTGGTGGTAAACGTTATTGGAGGTTATTAGGTAGAATAAATGAAGAGCTGGTACTACTTCTAAACACTGCCGGGTCCTGACATACCTTGTGTTTTTATTTCTGATATGGGAGTAAAAGTAAGGTATTTTAACATTAAATGAGGATGACACTAGATGGTTGTAAGCCCTGCACCCTAACTTCTAAACTCTAAAATGTTCAAATATTGTTAGGTTTCAATGAAATCCAACAGTAGTCCCTTACTTGGAATCACTGTAGGATTGGTTCCAGCAATGGGCAACATAGGGTTTGGTTCTACACAGTGAGAATGGGTCAAAGAAACCCACTATAGTTGAAAATTGTTTTCCTCCTTACAAAGCTCATACCAATGTAAAGAGTAAAGAACTGTCAAAACACCTTCAGGGAAGAATACAAATACCCCCACAGCTGGTCCATGGAGCAAAGTATAATTCCAAGTAAGAAATTTCACTTAGCCAGGTAAGGCATTTAAGGAAAAAGAAATCTAGTCTGGGGCTCTGCTAGCCAGACACAGATAAATTACTATAGGCAAACATGTTTTTGAAGCTATTCTTTATGAAGATGGGAAATCCACCTTGCCATCTATATCCTTTCTGTTTTTGATAGGTGTTGGAAATGGATGCTCGGTGCCGCAAAGAAAAATTAGCACTGAGACAAAGGATCTTTCCGCAAGGCATTTTTACTTCCCGGACTGTAGGAAGAGTACCCTAGCTAGCTAGGCAACATGCCACAAGAGTACAATGAACAAAGGAAAACAGACACATTCCTTACACATTTGGAGTTGTCCTTACTGCTGTGTCTGATCTCCGTTGGCTGGAGCCAGACCTCACAATCTAAACTAAAACCCTATTGGCTAATAACTTAAAACTTTTCTAAACAGGCAAAAGCAATGAAGAGCTGGGACATGCCTGTGAGCACAGATATCTTGGTTAAAGTACAAGGACATAGAATGTACTACGTACCTGTAAGGATGGCACGTTTAACACAGGATAGGGCTTAACAAAGTTGTTAGCACACTTACTCTTTAACAAGAAAGGAAACTTTAAGAAGAAACTTTTCTACTTCCCGCAACAGGGGTGTTCGTGGGCTGGCTAGATCTTTACTCTGACCAGTACCATACAGGTCTCTAGTTCTCAACCTGGCTGCACAGTACAGCACTTTAATCCTGATACCCAGTCCCATCCTCAGAGATGCTGATTTAATTTGTCTAAGGTGCAGTTTGGGCCTCTGGATTTAAAACAAACAAACAAACAAACAAAAACTCCCTACGTAATTCTTATTTCTGGCCCGTCTTGTAAACCTTAGGCTATTTATTCTTAAGGGTTTGTAACAAGCCTTCCTCTTAAAATCCACCCCACCACCATTCAGCTTTTTGGGGTCTGTCTGTTGTTACCTCACCCATTCCCGACTCCCCCCCCACCACACACACACACACACACACACACACACACACACACACACACGAATTTCTCTCTACAGTCAGGCTGGAGTAATCCCAAAGTGATGTCTTTGATAAATAAGAAGCCGGATGAAGAAAGTTAACTGCCACCCGAACAAGGTGTCAACAATGCTCACTCCCTGCTGTGTTACTCAACCTGTTTCTCTGCTTTCACGTTAGAGAATGTCCTAGGAGGTAACGCGCTGCCTCCCTAGTTATTTCCCCACCCTCGTGCTGGCCTTTGATAGACCTCCCAGGAGAAGGCCCACGATGCCGGGAGGGCACTGCACCTGCAGCTCGACTTGGCAGCACCCAAGCCCGCGGATGCTCCGCTTAGACGAACTCTGGTTGGGGCGGCAAGGCCAGCGATCTTTATCCTGCGACACGCGGGCACCCCTCCCCCTCTCCCGTTCCCACCCCGTCTGCGTTTACGGAGCAAGAAGATACCGTATTTACGTTTCCAGAAGGCAGGTCATCGCAGGCCCCACCCAGCAGTGGAGAGGGTGAGTCTCAGCCGGGGTTGCCGGAGAGCTCCTTCTCCGTCCCAGTGCTCTCGTCCCCTAGTCCGCGGCTCCCAGGGGCAGGGGACGCCGCGCACCTCTGACCTCAACAAACCCCTACTCCGCCCGTCTTCTTTGTCCCACCCTTGATGATACGGAGCCCCGACCCCGCCCCCGCCCACGGCGCTCATTTAGCTGGTATTGCGGAGCCGGGAGGCGCTGCTGCTGCTCACTGCAACCTGCTCTCGCTGCTGGGTGTGCTGCGAAGTGATGGCGTCTCCGGCCCTGACCCCGCGCGCCATGACTGTTGCGCAGCCGAGCGTGCCCGCGGCGCTGCGCCTCTTCGGGGGGCTGCCGGGGCTGCTGCTGCTGCTGCTGCTGTGCCTGCCGGCTGTGCGGGGTGAGTGGGGACCCGGCGGCCGGGGAAGACCCTGGGCTGGGTGGGCGGTCTCGGTCGGTCTCCGAGACGCGCACAGGGGCCGGGGACCCGGCAGGGGGAGCGCGTGGCCCGCGGTCGTGGCTCTCACCGCTCACCAGCGTTTGGAGCTCCTGCTGCGTCGGCCCCCAGCTGACTTGGCTTTAGGGGTCGGCGCGGAGGGTTAAAGAGTCCCCGGCTGGGTTTGCGGAGCCGCCTAACCTGGGAAAATCGAAAGGGAGGGCTCAACGACAGAGTATCCTGAACCCCCGAAAAAGCTGGTCTAAAAGGGTGGGAGGCCAGACCGCTGGCCGCTCCCCACTCGCGACACGGAGCATAGCCGCCTGCAGCACACGGGTCTGTGAACTTGCGGTCACCTTCAGGCGTGGCATTTCAAGGGAGCATGTGTCTTAAAAACAGCATCTGTGAGGACACTCGATAGTCCCTCCCTTCAGTTCTGCTTTTGCCTCCCCAGGTGACTGTGGCCTTCCCCCAGATGTGCCTAATGCCCAGCCAGCTTTGGGAAACCGTACAAGCTTTCCCGAGGACGCCGTCGTGACGTACCAATGTAATGAAAGCTATGTAAAAATCCCTGGCTCCAAGGACTCCGTGATCTGCCGTCAGGACGGTCAGTGGACAGATATTGAAGAGTTCTGCAATCGTAAGTTCTTCATCCTTTTAGAAAAGCTATGCGAATGGAATGTATCTCATTTATTTTTATATGTCTTTGGAGTGACCAGCAATTGATCGTTTTCTAGCGTTTTTAAACCCCAGGTTTACCTTGTTGGCACGTCACACTCCAGCTAATTAAAGGCATTCACCTCCCTGAGTAGATCCTGCTGCTTCATTAAGAGCTTTTCTTCCTAACACTGGATACCTCTTGAACGAACTCGTAGAGAAACAGTAGTAAACAATAGGTATTGTTTAGGGAGTAAATATATAAAATGTATTTGGCGATTGCCTTGAGACACAGCATAAGTGATCTGTTTTCTTAAATATCATTTTGTAAAGTAGGACTTGCCAAACAGAACCCTGTGGTGGCATTTTTAAAAGCTCTCAATATTTACTTCAAAATCTACTTGTACATATTTATAGGGTATGCGTGATATTTTGACACATGCATACGATGTGTCATGATCAATCATGGTAATTGAGATAGCCAGCACCTCAAACACTTAGCGTTTGTGTGGAGAATATTCCAAATCTTCTCTTCTTGCTACTTTGAAAACATATGTGTATATACATAAATTGGGATATATATATGGATATATATATATACATATATAAATTGGGATATATATAGGGATGTATGTATATATAAATTGGGATGTAGATAGGTTGATTGATTGAACCCCAGGTTTACCTTGTTGGCACGTCACACTCCAGCTAAAAATGAATAAAAGGCCCAGTGAAGTTTTGGGGCTAACACAGTAACTGTGTTTGATATTAAGTTATCTAGTAGATCAAGATTGCTTGTTTTAGGTGAATATACATACAGTCATTCACACCTCATGTGCCCTTTGGTTTCATAAAATATATATTGGCATTATTTTGGAGGAAAAAAATCTGTTATTTACATAGCCCTGTATCAGCATTTAGATATATGGGTAAAGATAGTCCATCACCTGACTTTGAACAACTTAGATCAATGGAAGCTACAGTAAATACAGAAATTGCCACAAATACTCAGAAGCGACGCGTGAAATAGGCTTTAACTTTTCATTTTTATCCACGATAGAGGCAGTAGGATCAAGTACATAGTCTTTGCACACGTATCATGGTTTAGAATTGATAACTTTTCCCCATGTTATTACTTTATTTAATCCTTAAAAACCTCATGAGGTAAGTTGGGGCTCTTATCCTCATTTTGTAGTGAAGGAGACAGGTCCTTGTAGTTAAATAACTTCCTCAAGAGCAGCAGCTTTTATCCCAAAAACGAGGGGTAAACTCGGGCCCTCTGACTACAAATCCAATGACCTTTCCACTTGACCATGCCTCTCTAGATTCACATTTGCCCAGCTGTTTATAGATGTAAATACTCTACGTATGCAATTGACTCATCTGATTCTCGACCCCAAGGCTTATGGGAATTAAATGAGTTTAAGTGTAAAACATTTAGAAGTGTTCAATCAATATTAGCTGCTATTGTTATTGTTGTGCAGGACATTAGTCCAGGGGTGTGGAAATACCCTATCCCTGTACTATATGGTGTTGTGTAGTTCTTTAGGGCACAATAAGGAAATTAACATTTTTTGGATGCCAGAACTGTGCCAGAGAACTTAAATATTATTGTTACTTTTTTAAAGTGGAGATAGTGATATCTGTGTGCCAACTCTACTTCCTAAACCTCTGGTAACTAGGAAATAAAGTATACATGTGAATGCATCTGGTAGATTGCAAGTGCCATGGTGATATTAATATAGTTAAATACCAAGTATGTACAAAGCAGTAAAGAAGGGTGATTTAGGGTCCAATTAATTAAATATAGATTATAAAACAAAATACTACTTTTTTTGTTATTGCTTTTGTTAATACTTTCAGGTAGCTGCAATGCACCACCCAGACTAAGTTTTGCAGCCCTCGCACCGCCTCATATCAGTCAGAATTATTTTCCAGTCGGTACTGTTATACAATATGACTGCCGTCCAGGTTACAGAAGAGACCCTTCTCTATCAAGAAAAGTAACTTGCCTTCAGAATTTGCAATGGTCCACAGCACCTGAATTTTGTAAAAGTAAGTAAAATTTTTAAAAAGCATTTCCAACCATCTGGTGTTTGGGGGAAATAGTATTCCTTCCCTCGTTCATGCTAGAACTCTGTATGTATATACTATTTATTATTTAGGATATTTCTTGATAGGACCATGAGTGTTAATTGATTTTGAATTAGACAAACTACTTATGTGGTAGGAATACTTATTCACTCGAAAATTTCACATTTAATTAGTTTGAGGTTACCTAAAATAAAATACATATATATTCTAAATATGTCGCTTTTCCAAAACTTATTATAAAGTGAAATTTGAATTAAAGAAGACTAACGGTCAGGCATGGTGGCTCGTGTCTGTAATCCCAGCACTTTGGGAGGGCAAGGCAGGTGGACCACTTGAGGTCCGGGGATTGAGACCAGCCTGGCCAACGTGATGAAACCCTGACTACTCAAAATACAAAAATTAGCTGGGTGTGGTGGCGCACACCTGTCATCCCAGCTTCTTGGGAGGCTGAGGTAGGAGAATCCCTTGAACCCAGGAGGCAGAGGTTGCAGTGAGCTAAAATTGTGTCACCACACTCCAGCCTGAGCAACAGAGTGAAGCTCCATCTGAAAAATAATAATAATATAAAAAAGAAGTCTAAGGGTGAGAAATATCAATGGTTCAGATGATGAAGTTGCATATATGTGCTTGATAATTTTTTCAAAATTTCCCCCAGCTTTATTGAAGTATAATCAACAAATTTTAGTTGTACAACATGTTTTGATATATGTCCACATTGTGAAATGATTAACACAGTCAAGTGAATTAATATATCCACCACCTCACATAGTTACCTTCTTTGTTTGTATGCCTGATAATTTAATTTAAAAAAAATCTATGTGTATTCTATTCTAGAGCGATCGTGCCGTAATCCTGGAGAACTACTAAATGGTAACATTAACATACCAGATGGCACATTATTTGGTGCTTCCATCACCTTCTCATGTAACCCAGGGTAAGTTTGGGCATACTAAAACCCTGTGTTTAGGAAATTAGAAAACAAATTAGGATTTAAGATGAGATTGTTAGTTTCATGACTGGTATTCACAGCTGGTAGCAACTCAAACAATCCCTCTCCTGAAAGACCCTTCATCATGAGCTCCTCACAGTTAAATTTAGTAAAATGGGGCAAGAAAGAAAGATTTCTTATACCACCAAATTCTCTAAATTCTGATTTCAGTACATATATGATTCAATAAAAACATTTAAATGTGATTAATAAAAAATTTGAGATGATGTTACTTGCAGAAATAATTCTTCAAATGTTAAATACTAAACCAGTCTTTAATTGACCTAAATAATGACTTTGCTTATGAGTTTATCTATATGCAAACAAGCTGTTACAAAACAGCATGAGTTAAAGACATTCCTAGTGTGAAAATATTCTAAACTAAGTTCTTTGATAAGTTCTCTATATAGGGAAAAGGAACTCACTCATTGAGTACCATCAGTGTCTCAGATACTGTTGAAAACTTTACATTTATTTTTTCATGTCATATCTGTAAATTATTCTATTTTACTATGTGTCCCTATTCTTTATAAAATCTGGGAACTACTTTAAACTCTTTAAATATAAGTATATTCTATGAAGCCTATGTTTAGAACTCAGAATTATAAAATGTTCAATCATCTATGTCATTTAAAAATGTTTTAAAACACTTCGTGTATTCTAACACCTTCTCCATGCACATAAAAAATGTGCATGTCTTACCCGTTTTTACTCTTTGCATGTCACCTTTTTAAACTTAATTTTTTTCCTTTAAACTACTGTGTGGACTTTTATCACCTACTGTTTTATCTTCACCTACTGCTATAGTCAATATTTTAAGATAATAACCTGGAGAATTTGAGGAAAGTCAAATATGTGTGAATGTAACAAACTATTTCTCTTCCCCTATTGCTTTAGGTACAAATTATATGGCGAGACTTCTAGCATTTGTCTTGTCTCAGGCAACTCTGTTCAGTGGAGTGACCCATTGCCAGAGTGCAGAGGTAAGATTTAAAAAAATCTAAACATGCAGGTGAGTGCTCAATGATAAATTAATTTCTGCCCATTAAGAGTTAGCACAGTGTGTATTTGTAGCCAACCCACCTTTAAATATATGAGTGCTTTGCTAATTTTAAGACCTTTTCTAGTGGTGCTTCTCAATTTATTAGCTGTGAAGATAAACCATCAAGTTTTCTGAGTCCCAGTTCCTGAACTATAGAATGAGGATTAAAAACAAACTTAGGGTTTGTATTGGACTTGGTCACTTGTTGTCTAACCATTACTTCTAAAGTCAAGTATGATAGGTAAAAGATTTCCACCCGACAATTTTCCGTAAGAAAGTACTGTGACGGCCGGGCTCGGTGGCTCAAGCCTGTAATCCCAGCACTTTGGGAGGCCAAGGCGGGTGGATCACGAGGTCAGGAGATCGAGACCATCCTGGTCAACATGGTGAAACCCCATCTCTACTAAAAATACTAAAAATTAGCTGGGCATGGTGGCGTGTGCCTGTAATCCCAGCTACTCAGGAGGCTGAGGCAGGAGAATTGCCTGAACCCAGGAGGCGGAGGTTGCGGTGAGCCGAGATCGCGCCATTGCACTCCAGCCTGGGCAACAAGAGTGAAACTCCGTCTCAAAAAAAAAAAAAAAAAGAAAGAAAGTACTGTGAATCAGAGGGTCTATAAGACTTGATCACATATCCGAAAACAAGTGGCAGTGGAAGGCGTTTGACTCAGGTCTCTTATTTCAAACCCATCATTTTTCTAAAACCCGGTGCCTACATGCTTCTTCTTAAGATTAAAATGATTAACTGAGATAATTATTTAGAAGGGTTTTAAGGTGTGATTTTTCTTTATTATTAGAGGCATAAGCTTATATCATAAGGAAGAAATACGGTTTTTGCATTTGAGAATCTTCTCAAATATATGGTACAGAAATATTATAAATAGATATATATCCAGTTAAATTTATGTCAGAAACACGTATCTCTTGGAAATTGAGAGAAATAAAATACATACATTTTAAAATGTAGGCTTGCTTTCTTCCCATCCTTCTCTGTCTTACACGCAACTTGCCCTGCAAATGACTTCTGAAGTCCCTATTGTCAAAATCATTAAGTTCAAGTTTTTGTATGTTACTAGGGGAAGAAAACTAGAGTAGATTTAGCATAATTTATCAAACATTTATCGATTGACACTCTATGGTAGGCCATGTGTAGGGTCAACTGATACAAAGACAAATAAAACGAAGCTTTGCCTGCAAGGAGCCTGCTCTGTCACACCTACCATGTGTTCTTCTTTTTGAGATGTTCTACTACTATTTTTTTCTCATTGTAATTGTTTTTAAATTTTCATCAGTACTACCCCGAAGCACCTTTCCCATTTCCATTGTCCAGTAAGAGACATTGTAGCTGATTGTAAATTAAAACAGAAAACAAGGAAACGCTGAGCCGTATCTTTTGTTTGACCCAGGCAACATGTCACAAAGTTCAGACAAAGTCTCCCATCTGAAGCCAGTATTTTCACAAGCACCTGCTATGTCATGAACGTGACGGAAATGCAAACCTACTTTGTCTTCCTGCTTTCACCAACTAGGCCACAGTCTTGCTTTCCTGTTTGGTGGCTTGAACTCCACACTGAATAATCTAATGCTCACGTTTTCCTCCTTGGCTGTTCTATCTTCTCTCCCACTCAGCCACCACTGACATCTGCATCCTGCAGGAAAGAGCCCCAGTTCTTAAGCAATCCCAGTGCATTCAGCTATCCCCGTAAGGCCCTACTGCTTTGAGGATCATTTTGATTTCTTCATATAACTTGTTTTGTTTTGACCATACCAAAAAGATTGAATGGAAAGTAAATTCTTTTTTTTTTGAGTCGGAGTTTCGCTCTTGTTACCCAGGCTGGAGTGCAATGGCGCGATCTCGGCTCACCGCAACCTCCGCCTCCTGGGTTCAGGCAATTCTCCTGCCTCAGCCTCCTGAGTAGCTGGGATTACAGGCACGCGCCACCATGCCCAGCTAATTTTTTGTATTTTTAATAGAGACGGGGTTTCACCATGTTGACCAGGATGGTCTCGATCTCTTGACCTCGTGATCCACCCGCCTCGGCCTCCCAAAGTGCTGGGATTACAGGCTTGAGCCACCGCGCCCGGCGGAAAGTAAATTCTTAAACAACATACCGCTTCACCTCAAGTATGCAGCCCTAGCCGATAAACACTTGAGGTTACATTGATGTCCATACATGAATATGGATATGAAGAAGGAAAGAACAGTGGACACATTCACTAATTGTCTACAGTTACACAGAAAACAGGGGATGCTAGTTTATCTCTAATGGAGCCTCACTGTCAGAGGACCTGTTTGCTTATCTCTCTGCAAATGTTTTCTTTTTCAAAGTATTAGCCGACTGCTGGTACCTGCTAACCTAGGATCAATCCCTGGTGTGTAATGACTATCATCCCAGACCCTTCTTTTTATCTTAACTCCTCACATCTCATCACGGTATCATTGTGCTTTACCTCCTCAGTCTGTTTTTCAAACTTGTGTTTTGCCCTCCATCTGTCTACTTCTAACATAGTTTATTATTCCTCCTGTGGACTTAGAATCAGGGCCACCCCTAACATTTCCAGGGCCCAGGCAAGAATGTAAATGGTGGTCGTTGGCCTGAGACCTACCTTCTTTCAAATAGCTCTTCCCCTGCTGTAAGTGTTTTCTGGTGCACGTAAGTGGACAGTTTAGCCTACATAGCCAAGTCATGTCCACCACATGCACTATAACTTGTATCAACCCTCCATTGTCCTTTGAGTTATAGGTGAGTATGTCTGCAGAATAGACCACCCCCAAGAATATGGATCGGGGGAGGGACCTCTCAGGTCCTAGAAGGTGTGTTAGTGCAGGGACTTCTGGGTGCTAGTTCCTGGAGCATGTTCTAGAATGGAGGCGGGGTGGTAGGACGGGCTCTCATTGAGTATATTCTCTCAGCCTACAGACATCCTCCCAATGGGGAAAGACACATCCAGAGGAAGGCCAGAGCACAGCCTTTTAAAGTGTGGTGTCTGAGGCAGGAATCTTAAGATAGCAGTATCACTCTTGAACTCAGGAAACTGAAGATTCCTGCCTCCATTCTTTTACTCTATTAATGTTTCATGCATATTTTATCCAGAGCAATCTGAAACACAGATGTGACTTGTCTATTTCCTCCTTAGAGCTTATTCATATCTTCCATCACTTACAAAGCCCAAACTCCTTAGTATAGTGTACAAGGCAGCCATGGTCTACCTACTGCTTGACACTCATGTCTTGCCCTCATGTTTTATGCTTTATACATGCAAACTGCTTGTGGTTTCCATGTACCTCTTTTTTCCTTTTCTTTCCTTTTTTAAAATTGAGACAGGGTCTCTCTCTGTTGCCCAGGCTGAAGTGCAGTGGTTGCAGCCTCAACCTCCTCAGCCCAAGTGATCCTCCCACCTCAGCCTCCCTTGTAGCTGGGACTACAGGTGCACACCACCATGCCCAGCTAATTTGTTTGTGTGTGTGCGTTATTTTTTTTTTTTTCTCCATAGACAGAGCTTCTTCATGTTGCCCAGGCTGGTCTTATACTCCTGGGCTCAAGCAGTCCACCCACCTTGGGCTTCCAAAGTGCTGGGATTACAGGCGTGAACCACCATAGCTGACTGCCTGTCTGTACTTAGCTATATTTTCCTTAATAATAATTAGTTCTCTAGTCCATCAGGAAGATTTCCAGGCTGGCTAATTCTATGATAACCCTTGCATTTTGTATTGAAATTATCTCCGAATCTCTTTTCCCACTAGCTTTTAAGACATAGGAGCTATATATCTTGTTCAGCTTTGCACTTCCAATTACAGAAAAATGCCTTGCTTGTGTTAGGTGCTCAGAAAATGTTTGAACTGAACCAATGGTACATGTGTCCCTGCACACCCTAAGTTAGTGTAAATCAGCACAGCTTGTTCTTGCTGCTTGTTTTGATCCAAGACCTAAAGTGATTGATTTATAAATGTGCTGGCTATTCTCTGTGTTCCTAAGTATGTTTGATGTAACATAATTTGACATATACACATATTTAATTGCCTTCATTCTTTAAAAAAAAAAAAAAAAACTTCATGCCTCTAGAGTATGTGGAACTATTGAATTTTTTTCTCAGGGTAGCTGCCATGGAGTGGTCCCTTTTTACGGTATAACTTAAAAAAAAACTCTGCCTGTATTTATTTTATAAGTTCAGCTGCTCAGTAAGATTATTTTGAATTAAAGTCTCTGTGAGTCAATATGTGCTAAAATTTTTTACTTTAGAAATCAAAATGTAATCCTCACATTTAAGATACTTGCTCTTGCTCTATCCAAAATGATCTGTACTTAGTTCTTAAGCATGCTGCTTGAATTTTCAGCTCCTTGCATTTGCTATCATTTTCCTCTTAGAGTGAAGAGCAATGCTCTCTTCTCTGTTCTTTCTTAAAAGAATGGTACCTATTAGGTTTAAACTCAAATTCTATTTCCCTGCCAAAGTCTTCTCTGACTACACTGATAAAATCTCTAAACTCCTGCAGCATTTACTTTTCCTAGCATCATTTTGGTATGTTCAAATCTTATAATTTTTCTTTTACATTCATGTTCTGAATCTTAGTATTTCTGTGAATTGGTCTCAGGGTTAGCATTTGTCTTCTACACCATTTGCATTCACAGTTCCAGTATACTACCAGTTACTTAATAGGCATTTATAAGCATCTCTTGTTGATACTGCTGAATTTAGAAAAATTATATTTTGACTTTTAAAAAATATAATCTTTAACATGTTTTCGCCTTATTTGTAAAAATACTAATTTTATTTATTTAAAAGATGTTTGAATTGTTTTTTTAAGAAATTTATTGTTCAGCACCACCAACAATTAACAATGGAATAATTGAAGGGGAACGTGAGCATTATGGATACAGACAGTCTGTAACGTATTTATGTAATAAAGGATTCACCATGATTGGACACAACTCTATTTATTGTACTGTGAATGGTGATGAAGGAGAATGGAGTGGCCCACCACCTGTATGCACAGGTAATCAGTTTGGATAATTGCTTTATTTTTACCCTTAGGTATATATGTGGGTTGCAGACATTCTATGAACTCCCTAAGAAAAAACTGTAAAACGTTTATATCTGCATACTTGTGTTTTTCTGTGGGACACAATTTTTTTTTTTTTTTAATTTAGGTTCTGGAGTACATGGGCAGGTCATGCAAGGTTGTTGCATAGGTACATATATAACCATGTGGTTTGCTGCCTCTATGCCCCCTTCATCTGTATCAGGCATTTCTCCCCATGTTATCCCTCCCCACCCCCTGCTGTCCCTCCCCTAACCCCCTCCCATCTGCCCTCAGTATGTGATGCTCCTCTCCCTGAGTCCACGTGTTCTCATTGCTCAACACCCACCTATGAGTAAGAACATGTAGTGTTTGGTTTTCTGTTCTTGGGAACACAGTTTTTCTAAAGCTTCTCAGAAAGGTCTTTGGCTGGTATACACACACTCACACACACATATGTATATGTGATGTGTATATATAAAATAGACCTCATATTTTTGGTGAATTTGCTGTTTTATACCATGTTGCTTTCAGTAAGTTAATATAGGTGCTTTGTTTATACAAAGAGCATATAAAGTGGTTTATTAAATTGAAGGGAGAATCTTAGATTGAACTGAGGGTTCTAGATAATGATCATACGTGTTGCAACAACTGAGAAACTCTTGCCATCTGTTAACTTCACTGAGTTAACATTCAATTATATTCTGCCTCCAAAATTTCTATTATTATCCATTCTCTTTCATCCTTCTAGTCTTTCAATGTCTTTTTATATCCAGATGGTACTCTCAGAATCCTTAGAACTGCTCTTTAAATATATTTTAAAAGAAATATTTAGGAGATCAGTGAAGCTGTACTAAATACTTATTGCCTAATATCAGTTGGTAGCATTTGTTTAAGCAGTGGTGAATGCCAGCATGACTGAAGCATTTGAGTATTTACTTTTATAATTATAATTGAAATGTTATTAGTATGAATTTTAAAAATTCCTTATTAAAATATTTTTTTATTATAAGTGTCATGTATAGACATAATGACAATATTAAAGCCATGGAGACGAGTACAAAATGAGAAGTGAAAGTCTCTATCACTAGTCCTGCTCTGAGAGATAACCATTTTTTATAAATTCTTGTGCTTTATTTTAGAATATAAATAAACATACAAATATTTTTTATTTATCACGTAAATAGTGTGGGCATTCATTTATCTAACCACTCCTCTATTGATGGCAATTTAGGTTTTTTGCTCTAGTTTTCTTTTATGAGCTATTATTGCAAATGATGCTATAATATTCTTGTACATCTCTCACTGCACATGTATGCAAGTACATTTGTACAATAAATTCCTTGCAGTATAATTGTAACAAAGATATGTGAATTACATTTTTCATAGCTGTTAGTAACATTGCTTTTTAAAAGACTGTACCTATTAGTCTCCCACTAATATTACATCATTGTGCTGTTTGCACCTTTAATGATAATAATTGTTATGGAGATTTGACAGTGTAGGTGGTAAAATGTTTATTATTTGAATTCATTTAATTATGATGAAGTTTGGTGTGTGTGCTTTTAAATTTTGGCCATTTGATCCAGTTCATATTGATTTTTTCATGGAAGTACCCAAGTAGGTCATGGCAGGCTAATGCTTCCATTAAAACAACTATAATATCTGAATATATTACCAAAAAATTATATTTTTAAAGGCATAAGATACAGCTGTGGAAGCAACAAGTTCTGAATGAACTAAAATGAACTAAAATTCCTGGGGGTGAAGGCAACCCATTCTGAAGTAAGCCAGTTTTCCCTAGGGACATTTGCTGATTCTGAACCTGGACTAAGGATCCACTTTGACCCAGACAAAAGACTACTTCCAGGAAAGAGAAACCAGTAAAGCTTTAATGGTTGTGGAAGGATAGGGTAATACACTGCAAACTGAAGTCCTCAAATGCAAAACAAATTTTTCCTAAAGGCCATTTGCTAATTTGGTTTGGGGGTAGGGGGCTGCATATGAGGCTGGGAAGCTTGACCCAAAGCTTCTAAAGTATAAAATGATGTCTCTCAGAACTTGATGGTATTTGGATAGCATATACCTATCAGAGGAACAGACTTTTATATAGCATATCACAGGTCTCCCTGTTAGCACATTGGTGCTCATTTTGAAACTGTCAAGGGGAAGGACATTAGATGGCTGGACTGGGGAAACTCTGACGGATAGACCTGAATCTCCTGACATCTTCCAAGGGTGAAATAATAAAGATCCGTGAGGCTTTCAGTCAGAAGCCCAGAAGGGCCACTCTCAAGGAATGGAGGCAAGAGCAGAGTAGATAGAGTCTTCCTGAAACTGGAACCCAGTTCAATTCCTACTAGGTTAAAGATATGATTACCTCAATGCAGTCTGCTTATCAGGAAGGCATATCATATCATCTGGATTTTTTATTATATAATGTTTGACATACAATAAAAAGACTGTTAGATATGGAAGGAAGAAAGAAAATATGGCCAAATCAAGAGAAAACAAAACCAAATAAAGAATATCCAGATAATTGAGTTAGCAAATGAGGACTTTAAAATAACTAATTAACATGTTTAAGATGATAAAACAAAAGAGAACTTCAATAGAGAATTGGAATCTGATATTCTACAACTGGAAAATATCTGAAATTAAGAACACAATAGGTAGGTTTAGCAGTGTTTCAGACAGAGCAGGAAACAGTGTTAGGAACTGGAAGACAGATTGGTTAAAAATACCTACCTAAACCAATTCACAAAGAGAAAAAGGAACGCGAAATATAGGTAAAAATTTGAGACATGTTAAACTGTTCTAACACATGTTAGAAAAAGGAGAGAGAGAGAAAGTGAGAGACAAAAAGGAAGAGGTGAAGGAAGAAGAGAAGAGAAATAGGAGCAGAAGAAATATTTTAAATGATACTTACTCAGAATTTTCCAACACTGATAAAATACATTAGCCAACATGTTCAAGAAGGTCTCTGACTAAGCTGAATAAAAAGAAAACCACTTTAAGGCACATAGCAAAAACAAAAAAGAATCTTCAAAGAAGCAACAGTAAAACTGATCACTGACTTCTCAGCAAAAAATGATGCAAGCCAAGACAATAAGAAAAAAATCTTTAAAATACTGTAAGAAAATTACTGCTCACCCAGAATTCTATACCCAATTAATATATCATTCAAAACTGAATGCAAAAGAAGGATGTATTCAGACAAAAACCAAGAAAACTTTGCATTAGCAGACCAAACATGCACAGAATGAAAAACTAAAGGAAATTCTTCAAGTAGAATGAAAGTAATTCCAGATAAAACATGAAAACAAAAGATGAAATTAATACTGGCAAGGGTAAATGAATACTGAGTTTACAAACAGTGAATGTAATGTCGAAGATCTGAGCAACAATTAAGCATAGATACATATAAGAGCATTGAAGCTCATTAGGACCAGTGGCCAGTATTTGTTTTCAAGCACACATGGGATATTTACCAAAATTGAGCATATGCAGGGCTCTAAGCTACAATACATTGCAAAAGATTGAAGTTACTCAGAGCATACCTCCTAGCCACAGTGCAATTAAACTAGATATCAGTAATGAAAAGATAACTAATAAATTAATTTCTAGGAAATTTAAACTCTAAGGTAGTATATAAATTCTCTGGGTCAAAACTGAGAACTTGATAGAACAAGGAATAATTTTTATATAGGAGGGCCTTAGAATGAAAGGTTCATACAAAAACTTATCCTAATAATAATTATCATTGTTTGAGTGCCTGCCAAATGCGTGTTACCTGCTAGGCATTTCACCTGTGTTACCTTCTGGGTTACCTGATAGGCATTTTACCTGCTAGGATTTATCCCTTACAGCAGCCTATGAGATAGGTAAGAAGGCAGAAAAAAATGACCAATACCATCTGAGTTCCTAGGGCATCCTGTTTGTGATGGGTCTGTCAACAGTCATCCTGGATGATGTAATCTCTTGTTTTACGGATAGACACTGTGAAATAGCTTACTCAGTTATTTCCCTTAATTCTTATAATTATGCAGTCTGTTTGGCTTCTATTCTCATTTTGCAGACAAGAAACTATAGCTTAGAGGGGTTAGTCACTAGTATGTGGTGAAATCAGGCATCGGCACTACTCAATACTGCCTCAGCAGGGACTTTGTATAAGCAACCCAATGGCAGATGGGCTCTGATGACCTAAAAAGTTGCTCTGCTGTTAGATTTGTGCTTTTCAGAATACGTTTTTTAGGAAAGTTTCATCAGACTTGTTAACTAGTCTGAAATCTAAAGAGGAACTAATGTATGGAATGTTGCTAACCATCACAAGAGAAGTAAAAGAAGTTATTTTTATTCAGACTCAAGTATTACTTTAAAAAAGAAGTGAAACAAAGCAAGTTATCACGATTATTAAGGTTTCCTAAAAGCTGTGAAAAAGGTAGCTACGCTTGATTGTCTCTGTTGGCCTAGTGACTACATCCTGTTGTGCTTTAGTATTAGCCACAAAAGATAACTTGGGAGAGAAAATAGAGACGTGCCACAGAATAAGATCACGAGTGACTCTAACTTTGATTTATTTCACAAAAAGCAGCTTAAGCACCTCAGCATTATTTGTTATTAAGTCTGCTTTAGTCACTCGTAGGTATAATTTATATCAAAGCAAAAGCAATTTAGCATTTTAGCTCCTTGAGAAATATACAGTTAAGACTTGGTTTCCTGAAAGTCATACCTAGGTGTTTGTGGGGAGAGAGAGAGGATAGTCACAGAGCAAGTAATGGCTAAGAATCTTAACGTGGCCAGCAGTATTCAGCTAACTTATTTCTTAACCTTTTCCTTCACAGGAAAATCTGTAACTTCCATGGCCCCACCAACAGTTCAGAAATCTACCACAGTAAATATTCCCACTACAGAAGCTTCATCAACTTCTCAGGAAACTTCAACTTCTCAGAAAATTTCAACTTCTCAGAAAACTACCACAGCAAATGCTCAAGGTACAGAAACTCCATCAGTTCTTCAAAAACACACCACAGTAAATGTTTCCACTATAAGAACCCCACCAACTCAGAAATTCACCACAGTAAATGTCTCAGCTACAGTAGTCACACCAGCACTTCAGAAACCCACCACAATAAATGTTCCAGCTACAGGATTTTCATCAGTATCTCAGAAACGTACCACAGTAAATGTTCCAGGTACAGGAATCTCATCAACACCTCAAAGACACACCACAGTACATGTTTCAGCTACAGAAGTCCCATCAACACCTCAAAAAAACACCAGTGTAAATGTTTCAGCTACAGAAGTCTCAGCAATTCCTCAGAAACCTACCACAGTAAATGTTTCAGCTACAGGAACCCCACCAATTCCTCAAAAACCCAGCAGAGCAAATGATTCAGCCACCAGAGCCCCAGCAACAGCTCAGATATCTCTCATATCAAAAACCTTATCTACAAGGACCCCTCCTGCAGCTCAGAATCCCATAATGACAAATGCTTCTGCTACGCAGACCACACTAACAGCCCAAAGATTGACCACAGCAAAAGTTCCATTTACGCAGAGTCTTCCAGCAACACAAAAGTCCGCTAATGTACATTCCCCAGTGTCTAAAGGTCTCAAGAGTACACAAAGATTCTCTTCTGCTCATATTACAGCAACACAGAGTACACCTGTTTCTAGGACTACCAAACATTCTCATGAAACAACCCCAAGTAAAGGAAGTGGAGCCGGTTCAGGTCAGTTGACACTTCAGGATCTAATGTGCTATCGTGGAAATATGAACTTGACCAAGATTGCAGGATTAAATGGTCTCTCATTTATTATAGCCAGGGTTTTTCATACTAATACTTTTTACTTTCTTTGGAGGTGGACTTGGATTTTACTAGGGCAAATCTTTAAAAAAAGAAACATTTACAATAATAGAGAAAAAGACTGTGGCCCCATTAAAAAATGCTAGATTAAGATTGGCAAAGAAATTCTGTTTTCTGTAGTAGTTTTAGGGAGTCGTCAAATACTTCAGGACTTCTCTAAAGAAGCAAATATGTGCTGTCTTTAAGGTTGAGTCCTGGGTCTAGTTCATTAGCAGAGTCCCATCCCTCAAAGCATGCTAAGGAATCTTTCCAGAGTCCCTAGAGTTGCAGGTTTGGTAAAGCATCTCAATAGTGTCATCTAAGTAATCGAAAATACAGAGATTCTTTCAAATAGTTTGTATTATTACAAGGCTCTATAAATGATAGCTTCCCAGTGGCACCAAATAATTGTGTTGTATCTATAGTTTTACCCATTATGACTATATCTTCAAAATGATTTTATACATTTCATAACTGTTACCTTGAAGCCTATTTTGCCAACAGCTGGGTATTTTTAAGAATTACATCATGGATGTTACTGTTAAAGTTCCCTAATACATTTATCTCCCCAGCCCATTTTTCTCCCTCTAAGGCAATTACCACCCTGAAGCTAATGTGCTTACTTCCTGTCAGTTTTCATTTTTTTTTTTTTTTTTTTTTTTTTTTTTTTTTTTTGAGACGGAGTTTCGCTCTTGTTACCCAGGCTGGAGTGCAATGGCGCGATCTCGGCTCACCGCAACCTCCGCCTCCTGGGCTCAGGCAATTCTCCTGCCTCAGCCTCCTGAGTAGCTGGGATTACAGGCACGCGCCACCATGCCCAGCTAATTTTTTGTATTTTTAGTAGAGACGGGGTTTCACCATGTTGACCAGGATGGTCTCGATCTCTCGACCTCGTGATCCACCCGCCTCAGCCTCCCAAAGTGCTGGGATTACAGGCTTGAGCCACCGCGCCCGGCTAGTTTTCATTTTTATACTCCATATATGTATCCATAAGTAGTACATAATATTGTTTCATATTTTAAAAATAATTTACAGACACTGTATGTTATATGTTTCATTATCTAACTTTTAGCTCTCAGCATTGGTTTTGTGGCTTATATGGATTTATTTAGATTCAGTTCACTAATTTTAATTCTTTATGGGGATTTTTACTTTAAAATTTTATGACATCTCTTGGTCTAAAATTTCTAGGTTGAATACATCCAGTTTTTAATAGAGTAAGACAAAGAGAAATCAGCATCACTTATAAATTTGTTATAGAACTAAGTTTATTGACATATTTCCTTCTGTAAAAAGTATAAGATAATTTAACAAATTTAAACTGAACCAAATGAGTCAATTAAAATAATAAAAATATCAATGCTTGGGATCAAATTTTACTCTTAGATACAGTTAATTTACTCTTTCAGGGCACACTATAATATGCCATATTCCACTCTTATTGAAAAAAAAAATTGTAGCTACCACTTACTGAATAGATAATGACATGTTCCATTTACCAAAATTGTAGCGACCACTAACTGAATAGATAATGACATGTTCCATGTTCCATTTGATGCCACTCATCTATACTACAACCTTGCAGAGTATCTTTAGTTTGATTTTTTAGATGAGGAATTAGAGACTTAGAGATTAATTCATACAGTTTATGTACAGTTTCATCCTGCATTTTTTTGGCTGAGTATATTGCCTGTTCTAAACGGTACTCTGAGTAAGTGTGTTCACCTCACTTAGGAGAACAGCTTATTTATTGTTATAAATATGCTTGTATGAAAGTAAATTTATTTTTGCAATGCTTCACCCATAGTCACTCAAATATATAAATAATAAGGTGATATGGCAGTTTTGAGATTTGATATAGTCTGTTGAAAGGGACTTAGGCTTCTTATGGTTTCTTGATAGCAGGATTGGGTCAGTAATTATTTACCGTTTAAGTTTTCAAACCTGTTTCTTGCCCTCAAGTCTTAAAACCAAATTTAAATGGTGTTTGTTTTGGTATTCAGTAACTCTTTATCATAGTTTATATTTACAGTGTTGATTCTGTTGAACAGATATAATAATTATATTATACTTGATTAAGTTAATATGTAATTGTTTTCATAAATTTATAATTATTTCATTTATGGAAATTTGAGTTGCTTTTGAGTTTTCAAGTATAGTTTATTGAAAGTATATGAAATTGCTAGCAAATCAATGACTTTAACAAATTTTTATTTTTAATCCTTTTTTTTTCCTTCATCTGTAGGTACTACTGTTCTTCTATCTGGTAAGTTTGGCTCTCAGACAGTTAAAATAAATTGTTTTCACTGTGAGATATACAATCCATATTCCTGGAATATAATATTGTCTTCTTGCTTTTAAAAAATTTATCCTGCAATTTATTTTTAAACTTTTTAGTATGGAAAACTTTAAACATCACTCAAGTAGGGAAAATAGTACAGTGAATCCTCTTATACTCACTCCGTTTCAGTAATTTTCAACTCATGGATACCCACTTACCTCACACTCCCTGGATTATTTGGAAGATAATACCAGACATCGTATCATTTTCTTCATAAACATTTCACTAAGTAACCTTTATAAAAACATAACCACATAGCATACCTAAAAAAATCCAGTAATTCCTTAATATCAGCAAATATTTACTCAGTAACCAAACTTCCCTGATTGTCCTAAAATTTTTAAATTGATACATAATGTTTTATGTGTTTATGGGGTACATGTGATATTTTGTTACACGCATGGACTGTGTGATTCTCAAGTCATTATTTGCTGTATTCATCATCTTGAGTTTTATTTCTGTGTGTTAGTAACATTTTAGGTCCTTTCTTTTAGTGACTATGAAAAATGTGTACTATTGCAAACTATACTCACCTACTCTGCTATCGAATATTGGAATGTAAATCTTCTATCTAACTGTATGCTTATACCCATTGGCTAAAGTCTCTTCATCCTCCCTCCTACTCATACCCTTTTCCAGCCTCTGGTATCTAACATTGTACTCTCTACCTCCATGAGAACTTTTTTAGGTCTCACATGTGAGGAAGAGCATGCCATATTTGTCTTTCTTGCTTGGCTTATTTCATTGAATACAATGGCCTCTAGTTCCATTCATGTTGCTGCAAATGATAAGATTTTATTCTTTTTATGGCTGTATGTATTCTAGTCTATATATATGCTAGATTTTTTTTCTTCTTTTTTTCTTTCTTTCTTTTTTTTTTTTTTTTTAGAGAGAGGGTCTTGGCCTGGCACCCAGGCTGGTGTGCAGTGGCGTGATCGTAGCTCACTGCAGTCTCGAACTCCTGGGCACAAGCGATTCTTCCACTTCAGCTACCCAGGTATCTGGTACTACAGGCATGTGCCAGGACGCCCAGCTAAGTTTTTGAAATCTATTTTTTGTAGAAACAGGGTTTTGCTATGTTGCCCACGCTGGATTCGAACTCATGGCCGTACGAGATTCTTCTGGACTCTCAAAACATTGAGATTTTAAGTGTGAGCCACTGCACCTGGCCTCACGTTTTTTTTATCCATTTGTACATTGATGGACACTTAAGATGATTCCATATCTTTGTTCTTGTGAATAGTGCTTCAATAAATATGTGAATATACATATCTTTTTGATGTATTGATTTATTTTCCTTTCAATAAATACCCAGTAGTGGGATTGCTGGATCATAACATAATTTTTTTAATTTTTTTCAGGAATCTCCATATTGTTTTCCATAGTGGCTGTACAAATTTACATTCTCACCAACAGTATATAGGAGTTCCCTTTTCTTCACATCCTTACCAGCATTTGTTATTTTTTTGTCTAAAAATGGCCATTCTAACTGGGGGTAAGAACAGGATAATCTCATTGTGGTCTTTTTGTGCATTTCCATGATAATTAGTGATGAGCAGTTTTTCATCTACCTGTTGGCCATTTATATGTTGTCTTTTGAGAAATGTCTGTTAATGTCTTTTGCCTACTTTTTAGTGTGATTATTTATTTTTTGCTGGTAAGTTGAGTCCCTTGTATATTCTGGATATTAGTACCTTTACAGATATATAGTTTGTAGATATTGTCTTCCATTCAACAGGTTGTCTCTTCACTCTGTTAATTGTTTCCTTTGCTGTATACAAACTTTTTAGTTTAATATAGTCCTACTTATCTATTTTTGTTTTTATTTTCTGTGCTTTTGAGTTCTTAGCCATTTAACCTTTGCCTAGACTAATGTCCCAAAGAGTTTTCTTGATGTTTTTTTCTAGTAATTTTATAGTTGTGGATCTTACGTTTAAGTTTTTAATTCATCTTGATTTGATTTTTATATATGGTGTGAGGCAGAGGTCCAGCTTCATTCTTCTGCATGTGGATATTCAATTTTCCCAGCACCATTTATTGAAGAAGACATCTTTTTTCCAATATATGTTCTTGGCACCTTTGTGAAATAAAGTCAGTTAGCTATAAATGTGTGAATTTATTTCTGGGTTCTCTATTCTGTTCCATTATTCTGTGTGCCTGTTTTTATAACAATGCTATGCTGTTTTGGTTACTATAACCTTGTATTTTGAAGTTAGATAGTATGATGCTGCCAGCTTTGTTGTTTTTGCTCAGGTTCCACAATAATTTTAGGATTTTTTTTTCTATTTCTGTGAAAAATGATATATCTTAATAGGGGTCATATTGAATTTTTAGATTGCTTTGGGCAGTATAGTCATTTTAACAATAATAATTCTTACCGTCTGTGAGCATGGGATGTCTTTCCCTTTGTATCCTCTTCAATGCCTTTTATCTGTGTTTTGTAGTTTTCCTTGTAGAGGTCTTTAACCTCCTCAGTTAAATCTGTTCCTAGGTATTTCATTTATTTATTTATTTAGTCATTGTGAATGGGATTGCCTTCTTGATTTCTTTCTTGGTTCTTTTATTACTGTATAGGAAATGTTTATTTTTGTATGTTGATTTTGTATCTTGCAACTGTACTGCATTTATCAGATCTAAGAGTTTTTGGTGAAGTCTTTAGGGATTTTTTTTTTTTTAACATATAAAATTATATCTTTAGCAAAGAGGGACGACTTGACTTCCTCTTTTCCAGTTTGGATGTCTTTTTTTCTTTCTTTTGCCTGGTTGCAAGTTAATGAAATTGAAATCTTGGTCCTCTCTGAGCCAGATGAAAACTTGGTTCTTCAATGAAATGAAAACTAGGACTTCCAGCACTGTGTTGAATAGAAGTGGTGAAAATAGGTATCCGTCTCTTAGATCCAGTTCTTAGAAGAAAGGCTTTCAGCTTTTCCCCATTCAATAGAATATTAGCTATGGGTTTGTCATGTGTGACCTTTATTGTGTTAACATGTTCCTTCTTTGCCTAGTTTGTTGAGAGTTTTATTGATTTGCATGTGTCGAATCATCCTTGCATCCCTGGTCGAAAATCCCACTTGGTCATGGTGTACTAATTTTTTTATGTGGTGTTGGATTTGGTTTGCTAATATTTTGTTGAGAATTTTTGTGTCTATATTTATCAAGGATATTGGCCTGTGGTTTTGTTGTTCTTGTTATGTTCCTGTCTGGTTTTTGTATCAGGGTAATGCCGGCCTTGTAGAATGAGTTAGGGAAAGTTTTCTCCTCTTTAATTTTTTTTGAATAGTTTCAGGAGGTTTGGTATTAATTCTCCTTGATATGTTCGGTAGCATTTAGTTTTGAATCCATCCAATCCTGGGCTTTTCTTTGTTGGATACTTTTTATTATGATTTAGTCTTACTGCTTGTTACTGGTCTGTTCAGATTTTCTGTTTCTTCCTGGCTCAATATTGATAGGGCCATGTCTCCAAGAATGTATTCATTTCCTCTAGGTTTTCCAGTTTATCAATGTATAGTTGTTCATAATAGTATCTGATATTTTGTATTTTTGTGGTAATAGTCAAAATGTCTCTTTTTTCATTTCTGATTTTATTTGGGTCTTCTCTCTTTTTGTCTTGGTTAGTCTAGCAATTGGTTTATCAATTTTGTTTATCTTTTCAAAAAAGCGAGTTTTCATTTTATTGTTTTTTAGTCTCTATTTTGTTTAGTTTTGCTCTGATTTTTCTGATTTCTTTCCTTCTCCTAATTTTGGAGTTGATTTGTTCTTCCTTCTCTATTTCCTTAAGATACAAATGCTTGTTTATTTGAAATCTTTTTACTTTTTTGATGTAATCTTTATTGCTGTAAACTTCCCTGTTAGCACTGATTTTGCTGTGTCCAATAAGTTTTGCTACACTGTTTCCATTTCTAGTTTTTCAAGAATTTTTTCATTTCATCCTTAATTTCTCCCTTGACCTAATGGTCATTCAGAAACGTGTTGTTTAATTTCCATTTATTTGTACAGTTTCCAAAGTTTCTGTTGTTATTAATTTCTAGTTTAATTCCATTATGGTTTGAGAAGATACTTGATACGGTTTTTGACTTTTTCAAATTTATTGAGACTTGTTTGGTATCCTAACATGTGTTCTATTCTGGAGATTGTTTCATATACCATTGAGAAAATTCTGTAGCTATGGGGTGAACTCTTCTGTTTGTGTAGGTCCATTTGGTCTAATATGCAGTTTAAATCCAATGTTTCTTTATTAACTTTTTGTTCAAATGAGCTAATGCTGACAGTGGGATGTTGAAGTTCTGAACAATTATTGTATTGGAGTCTGTCCCTTTACCTCTGACAATATTTGCTTTATGTGGTTAGGTGCTCCAGGATTGGGTACCTACGTGTTTGAAATTGTTATATCCTATTGCTGAATTGATCTCTATCAATTATGTAATGACCTTGTTTGTCTCTTTTTACTGTGTTTGGCCTAAACTCTGTTTTATCTGATATAAATGTAGCTAATCCTGTTTGTGTTTGGTTTGTGTTAGCATGGAGTATCTTCTGCTCTCTCTTTACTTTCTGTCGCAATGTGTTTTTACCCATGAGATGAGTTTCTTGAAAGAAACATATAGTTGGATTGTGTGTTTTTTTTAATCCATTCAGCCAGTATACACCTTTTAAGAGGAAAGTTTAATCTGTTTACATTCAGGGTTATTGTTAATAGGTGAGGGATTATTCCTGTCATTTTATTAATTGATTTCTGTTTGTTTTGTTCCTTTTGTTCTCTCTTATTATTGTGATGTGGAGCTTTTCTGCCATAACATTTTAATCTTTTCTTCTTTGTGTGTTTGATCTACCAGTGGTTTTTAAAAATTTCTGCTTTGTTTTCACGATTGTAGATATTATTCTTTCTCTTCTGGGTATAGCACTCCCTTAAGCAATTTCTCGTAAACCAT